CAAATAAAAACCTAAAACGATCATTACCATAAGAGAAACAAAAATGAGCAACTAGAATCACAACTATATGCCAAGATGGCTTTTCAAACCATTTTCTCGTTATTTTCATTCTGAATACAAAACAATGTACCGTTTGAGTTTATAATAGTCGCTATTGTTGTAATAAAAACAAAAATATTAGCACGATATACTTTTCGATTAGGTAGGATTGACTTTTTTATAATTTGTATTTTAAGTTCTATTATGTTATCTGATTATAATATTCTGTATATTAGACGATCATTAAATGTATTATTTTTTCAATATAACTGGTTTATAACTTAATGTTATTTAATCGGTCATAAAATTCATATGCAATTATCGAATRATAATTATGTGTTATAACTTATAAGTAATAATCTTCTACTTCTTCTCAGCTTACCGGTCCGTTGAGGGCCATTTCTGCCTTCAAGAGGTCTCGCCATCTATCTCTGTTGTACGYCAGATCAAAAGTTATATTTTGGCCTATCTCTTTCAGGTCTCTGGTAATCACATCTATCCATCGGGTTCTTGGTCTCCCTAAGGACCTTGTTTTGTTAMTTTAAATTTAATACACCCATTATTCAAACAAAGTAGAGTTATCTACTCAATGACGAGAAGCACTTAAAATCTACCATATMGTGGAGCAACTTTTGTGCTTTTTATTTTTGTTACCTGTATCTAGAACATTCTGAATTTATGTGGTTAACTATATGTAAACATTACTATGTTAAGCATGTATTATGTTATTATTTTTCAACTGATATTTTGATTAAATATAAATTTCGTTCGCAGACCCTGAGCCCCATAGATATGAAGTTTATTTGGTGTTTATAATAAGTACCTGGCCAATTGTATACGAAGCGTTGTTCTTGGGTGGTAACTCTCCAACACGCCCAGCACTTCAAAAACAATGGGAAAGAACGTACCAATGAGCGTCATGACAACTGTGATTTCGTATTTTCTCCATAATGTAGATTCGGCCTCTGGTTCTGTGGATCTACCTACCACAACAATCACAGCATAAACTGAACTTCCCAGCATCCATACCATATTCAGATTTGCAAATATCCTCAAAGTYACCACTTTCCAACTGCGAAGCGGGTGAGAAAAAAAAATAATATTCCAATTACACTGGGTGAAAAAAGCGAAAACATTAACTTAAACATTAATAACTAAATATAACTACCCCTTCCCACAAAACTTAATTTTAATTTAATAACTGCTTGATCACAAATTTGAATAGAAGCGATATTCGGGTGGATATTTTATTACTTTTGTTTGTCTTTCATTCTTTCAGCTTCTTCAAGCAATGCCTCTTTAAAACCGAGTATAATCGACGATGTACGATTGTGAGCGGTTTCTTCGTTTCCGATCATATAATCCCAACCGGTGAACAGTTTCCACGTAAATATGCACTCGTCGTCTTTTTCGGATAGTTTGCTCAGACGGGAGTTTGCGGCCATTCTGTGTAATAATTGATACAACGAACAGACAAATGCACATTAAAACAACTATTATTATTGATCGGATATCCAGGTAGTATAAATACTTTCGAAGCGTAGCCACGAAACTGTAAATGTAAACAACGAGCCCCGTGATAAAGTAGGCCGTGGGTAGCCGGTATCCAGTGTCTGAACTTTGTCGATTCGAATAGTAGCCGTAAAACATGGGTGAATGCTGTAGGACCCCCTCAAAGTTCAATAAAGTCATTAACTCCATAGAAGTGGCCTGTTCCTCAGGCAACAGTGTCTTGCGCTCCCCAGTGTCTGCCTTGTTGGTCGTTAAAATCTATGAAACCATAACGGTTTATTATTAACATGTGCACTTTGTATTATTCTAAGTACATAAGATGATTGTATATATAATCGTTATTAGTACTTCGGGAATGACGACGAAGGCTGCTAACAACACAGATATGACAAAGTTCACCCAGAACAACCAGCGGAGGAATGTAAAGTACGAAGCGACTACCGTGCCGAATTGAGATTCAATTTCTTTAATCGTTAGTTCCCATGGAATTATTTGACTTATGAAATTKGCCATCTCTCGTTTACTGTGCTGCCATTGCTATATTTTCACAGCGAACCGTTTCCGTATTTTATTAACACCCAAGTATTAACAATATTAYTATTATATTATATTATATCGAATTACTTTGACTAGGACTATGTGAAACCGCGCCATAATATCTCTTGTACTTTTACTCATCGCCAAGCGTTCTTGCAGTTGACCCTCGTGCTTCTTCACGTACTCTTTGGCTTGTTGAACCAATTTCATCTTCCTCCGTATGGACCATGGTTGCTGACGTACGCTGCCTAACACCTCTTTGTGTAAACGGATATTTTCGAATATCTGCTCTTGAGAAATACCAGCCTCTTCGATATTAATCGCCGTACTGTAAACATAAAATTAGGCACTATTTAACTATCATATAATGTCCGATATTATAGGGTAAATAAATATGCGGGCTGAGAATGAAAAGGTTCTATGTCAGAATATCAAATTGTTCAGCAGAGCGATTTTTAACTTTGATACCCAATATCTTTTTTTCTGTTCATTTTATGAATACCACTATAATTTTAATAAATAAATTAATACAT